ACTGAACTCATAGGCACAGTTGAAAGCTACAGGGAAACGCGGCACCTTTTCAAAAACCTTACTACTATGAAACACACACTGTCATTAATCCTCCCCAGAATATTCCTCCTTACCTTCACAATTATGTTATCGTTCTCGCCACCTTGTGAAGCACTTCTGGAAGGCCTCTTGCATGTTTTAGTTGTGTTTTGGGGCTGCCTCCACATCCCTAATCAGTTCAGAATGTTCACCTGGCACCGTCACTTTGGCTTCGGGGAAGAGGCAGACAGCACACGGTGCTGGGTCCAGGGAGCAAGCAGGGTGCAGACACGGTGCATCGTAAAGCTTTCCTACAGACTGGCACTTGGCAGCTGTACCATTCGCACCTGTGGAGATGCTGCTTTAGAAAGTGGCAGCAATGGGGAATAATTCTGTTTGAAGAGAGAGGGAGTATTTTGAGGCAGACTAATTGTAATACATCTTTTATTGCAATATATTTTTAAAAATTTAAACTTTCGCCATATATTTTCATCTACCCTGTATGTCCTCACCTCCCCCTGCCCGCCCCTTTTTAATTTTGAGAAAGGATCTTGCTAAGTCACTAAGTTGCCCAGATGGGACTCCAGCTTGCAATCCTCCTGCCTAGTCTCCACGTGCTGGGATGACAGGCATGTGCTACCTTGCCTAGGTTTTTCTTTTTCTTTTTTTTTTTTTTTGATCAAATAAAGAAATTCTCTACTAACCAACTACATACTCAGCCCTTTTTTAAAAATACAGTCTTACCACCATATCTGGAGTGGCCTCGAGTTCGCGGTCCCCCTGCCTTACCCTCCCGAGTAGCTGGCACTACAGGCATGTGCCTCTACATCTGGCATAGTGGCATCTTATTTTTTATAGTGACGTACTGTTTGGGTGAGATTCCTCCGTGTTGAATCTAATAACAGTGTCTTAAGTGAGGGGCCTTTACTTGAACAGCTCAGCCTCGCTCACCTGCACACAGTCCCTGCCCTGTTCATGGACCCGTCTTTATTTAAAATGTTGAGATTTTATTCCATGTACAATTTTGCTTTAGCTTTGATTTTGTGAAAGCTTGCTCTGTCTTGGCAACTGGATTGTTTCTTGGTGTCCCTTTAATTTTGTGTGAAAGGCTTCCTGCACACACTTCTCAGCCTATCACCTTAGGGGCTTGTTGTGTCAGTGTCCCTCCCACTGGGCTGAGGACTCCTGCAGCCAGGGTAGCCTCTCTTCATTGGGTGCAGTAAAGGTCTAACCAGGCCTCCTTAGCCAGCCTGTGCTTCTAGCTCTTCATCTTGAGAAAAGAGACGGCCCTTTCTTGGATCCTCCCTCATCCAACCTCAGACAATTTGTAATTGTCAGATAATAGAAACAGTTTGCTATAGAGGATTAGCAAGTAGGAAAGAATTAAAGCTTTTTGTTGTGCTTGAGATTGAACCCATAACTTTGTCCACATTAGCCAAGTGCTTTACCACCAAACTAAATCCTCAATCCTGAGAAAGAGTATAAGAAAGACTTTTTAAAAAAAAAAAAAAATCGCCTGGAATCTCATGCCTACAGATAACCACTGCTAACGTTTCTTTTTGTTCTCTTCACATCGCTTCTCATTTCTTCTGTATCTGTCTGCAGAAAATGCTGCCCTTGCAATCTGGGAAGATCCTGTTACCTATTCTGTTCCCTCATCTGGCCCTCTGGGCCTGAGCCAGGGGGCGGGCAGTGGGGGGTGTCAGCATGAGGCTCTGCAGCTGCCTCTTGGGCACAAGGTGGCCTCCAAGATGCCTGCATTCCGACTCAAGGAGCTGAGAGAGCTTTGCATGTGGCGGAGGTGCTCTGGACAGTGGCCTGGTCACAGCCCAGGAAGTGAATCTTTGCCTCCTTCCTCCTTTGATTAGCTCCTGTCTCCCCAGGCCAGCGCCTGGTGTGTGCTGTGGATGCAAATTTATTACACTCAGATTCATTTTTGGCAACCCTGCAAAGAAAGAAGGCTGGGTTAGACCGAGGGCCGAGTGTCCAGTAAGCGCTGACAGTTTTATGCGCATTTTTTCATTTACTCCTTCCAGTGGCGTAGTGATGTAGCTCATCATTGTCTCCATTATTATCTCCATGAGGGAAGCAAGGCCCAGCAAGTCAGGCAGGTGGCTCAGAGTCACAGAAAATACCTGAGGCCAAGGTCCTTGGCCTTAGGCTGGTTCACATGGGATACATCAGGGCTTGGGGCAGGGCTGGAGGAGACGGGGAGGATCGGTATTTGCTTGGAGAGTTTACAGTCCTCCCAGCAGTGGAGAAGGTCTCCCTCTGAAGTGCTGACCTGCTCTGGGGCTCGGTGGTGCTTTGTGTGCACCAGGCTGCGGGCTTTCGTTTAGGGGTCTCACAGATATTGGTGATGTGCTCTGTGCGCCAAGCTGCCAGGAAGGGTGGAGAGTCAGATAAAGTGAAGTCTGTCTTCAATGGGTTTATTTCTTGGCAGGGGGAAAGGTCTATAACACAGCTTTTAACTTCCACTGTGGTGAGTGTAATGACAGAGCTTACAGGGGCAGGAAAAAAGAAGCAGCAACATCCAGAATGAGCTGAAGAAGAGGTGTGTAGGATGGGTTAGGGGATGGCTTCTCAGAGGAAGCAGTTTTTCCTTAGATCAACTCTCAAGTTTAGTTTTTCAGTGTTCATTTTTATTAGTGCATGTTTGTAGTACACGGCGACTATAGTCATCGTGGAGAGTTGGTGCACATAGAGAGCTTGTCTTAATTCATTCCCTTCTGTCCTCCCAAAGGAAGCAGGTGTTGAAGTGAATTTTGAAAGCAGAGGGGCAGAAAGCAGCACAGAGCATCCAGGAAACCTTGCATGGTCTGTGATGGCTGAAACTGAGGGGCTGAGCCCGGGCTGGCGTCACTGTGGAGGCTGGGTGACAAATAAGAAGTCTGGGCGTGCAGCATCCCCCCACCACCCCTGTCTTTATGTTCCCAGTTTCAGTTTCCTTCAATCACCTATGCTTAGAAAATTTTAAATGGAAAATTCCAGAAATAAACAAGCCATAAAATTTCAACTGCACACCTCCCCGAGTGGAGTCTCCCATTATCCCACTTGGTCCCAACATGAATCGTCCCTTTGTCCAGCATTTCCACTCTGCACACCATCTGCTTGTTGGCTACCCAGTCGCGGTCTCAGTTACCAGATCCACTATCTCACACCGCAGCCTTTGTGTTCAAGTGACCCTGATTTTCTCTAATAACAAGCACAAAGCAGAAGGATAGAGATGCTGGCAATTCAAGTATGCCAAAGAGACAGGTGAGTACAGTGAACTATCAGCAAGAAAAAGTGAGGGGCTACCCTCACATCGCTTCTGCTACTCCATTGTTGTTTTGTCTTATTGTAGTTAGTGTTGTTGATTTTTTTTTTTTTTTTTTTGCGGAACTGGGGATTGAACTCAGGCCCTTGTGCTTGCCAGGCAAGTGCTTATTCTGCTGAGCTATCTCCCCAGCCCCCAGTGTTGTTAACATTTTGTTGTGTCTATTTTATAAATTAAGCTTTATCGTAGATATGTAAGAAACACACAGTACATATAGGCTTCCTTCCAACCTGTGGTTTTAGGCATTCACTAGGAAGCCTGGAATGACTCCTCAATGGCAAAGAGGAGGCTTGTGTAGTTCTAGAAGCTTGGAGAACATAGCAGGATTTTAAAGATCAGCTCCACACAACAGAAAGAGCACTTGTTAGCTTTGCAACAGAGGCCACCTGAATGTGGCAGCCTGGAGAACAGCACACCACTTGGAGAAGTGGCTGGCTGGAAGGACAGCATGCCAGAGTTTGTGGGACGGCCCTTGAGGAGCAAGGTGTGAGACTGATGGGAAGGGAGATTGCACGCTACAGGGCGGGGCACTGGCCAGAGCAAGGAGCACAAAGCAGAGAGCGAAGACCAGGCCCGATCTCAGTGTGAGCCGGGAGTATGACGGGGCCTTTCAGGTTATAGGCTGAAGAGTTCTACAGATGGTTTCCAGTCGTTATAAGTGCGGACCTTGAGGTCTTTGCCTCGGCCTTCACTCCTCTCTGCCCTCACCCCTGATCCTTTCCATCCTCTTCCCCCAGCTACCTGCTGCCAGTCCTTTCATTTAGGGGACCTGACCTCATCCCCATCTGCACTTTATTCGGGCTAGGTTGGCACACGTCCAGCAAAGCCCTGCTAGTATCCCTGGGGTGGGGAGTCTTGTATTCTTTCCGTTTTATACAGAGGGACACTAAGGCCAAGATGTATAAGTTGTTCTATGTGTGTTTTCTCAGAGATGGGTGGATGAAGCCACTGTGTAGCCAGGGAGAAGAAAACACGGAGGAAGAGACATCCTAAGCTAACTGCCACATCCCAGGTTTCCAGGAATGCCTAGTTTTAACATTGGAATCCCTCATCCCAGGAAAGCCTTCAGACCTGCGTGGACCAGGAGGGCTGTTCCGCTGCCATGAGTGGTGTCCAAGAGAGCCTTCCTGCAGTGCCTGCCAGGCAGGGTCTCCCAGAAGGCTGCCACACCTCAGGCTCCCAGTTCCTCTGTCCCTGGGACATTGTGACCAGGATACACACAGGTTGTTCCTGGCTGGACCAAGGGGAGACAGGTGTGCTTCTTATGCTAGGGGTTCTTGCTGAGACCTGAGTCCTCTGTCCCCGGGCACTGATGAGCTGTCATGGAGACCCATACAGAGGATAGGTGGATCCTCTGTGAGTTTTTGCCCAGTAGCTGAAACCTGGGGTTTACATGGAAAAGGGGCCATGGTGAAGCCTGGATCAGTACTTTTCCTTGAACATTTTCACCCTAGCTCTCTACCTGTGTGTACAGACATCTCCACTCACAATCCCTTCCACTACCACAGACACGAATGCCTTTTTCCTGTTTGGTTTAGAAAATCCAGTACCTGTTCTAGTCTCCCAAAGGCCGCACTCTGCACAGGGCCACCAGAGCCCAAAGCAGCTTTGATGTCTCCCATGTGCATCTGAGAACGTAACTCTGGTCCTCCCTCTCATTCAGAATCCATGAGGATGATGAGCAGATGTTTTGCTAATAATGAGAAGATGTGCAGGCGCCAATACACAGGAAGAGTTTCCAGCTCATAAGGTAATTAGCAGGCTGGGGAGCCCAGATAAACAGAGCTTTCTGTTTCCTTTCCTGCAGTCTAAAGTAGCAGATCTGGAGGTTCCCTCTCTGCTGTCTCCTCCACCCCAAGCGTCAGGATTGGAGGGGAGGCATATACATGTCTGGTAGCTGTGCCAGTGGAACTGACTGACCACGTATTCCTAAAGCACCAGCTCACAGACGCGGTGCGTTCTCAGCGACTCACTGGCTGATTGGCGCTCTCTTCCCTTCCCTAGTGCTGCCTCATCTGTTCTTCATATTTACTTTCTCCTGAGCTTCACGGCAGCCTTACTAGATAAAGAGCGAGGTTATGGAGGTTTGTATGCCAAGTCCTCTGTTAGTGGCACTTTCTTTGTTTCTGTAATCTTCCAGCAATCCCAGAAAGGAGACCCCATGGCCTGTCCCACTGCACCTTCAGATGGGAAAGCTGAAGCTTAGACAAGTTAAGCTACTATAGCTGTGAAGTGCAGAGATGGATTGAAGGCCGCGTTTGTCTGATGGCAAAGCCCAAGTCCTTCATCCCTGAAGGAACCTTCAGGTTCAGGGAGCCCAAATCCGTTCTTGTGTGAAATGGTCTAAGGAAGACCCGTACCCCACTGGGCGCGTCCTGTGAACACAGACCTCTGTCTGGAGGTCTATAAGCAGAGGCCAGCCTTCAAGCTCTCAGGTTCTGCTCTGCTCTCTCCATAGATCTTTAGCCTCCTTCCCAGCCCATCTCTCTCTTAAAAACTGTGCCCTATTGGTCTTCTCTCTTCTCTTTGAGAAACTGAAGCAATGGGAAGTTTCTGTTTTCAAGCAGGTTCAGTGGTCTTCTCCTGTAGTCAGAGAGAAAGCCCAAGAAATGCTAGAAATTTATTCCAGCTGGTGGAGCCCATGTTTCTTTGTCAAAATATGCTCTTCCGCACTGGAGGCTCAGAGTTGAATGAGTCCCTTCCCGGTTGATGGTGTGTGTTTACTGAATCCCAGTGTGTGTTGCTAACCAGGCTTTGAAACAAGAGACATGTGTTTTTAATCGAATTGCAAGTTTTATGTCTTGTTAAAAACACCCACGTGGAGGCTGGCTGGGCGGGCTGCTGTAGAACAACTCCAAGCTCCCTCCCTGGCCTGTGGGACCGGTGGAGGCAGCCAGGAGGACGCCCAGTGCCCCCGCATTTGCTCTCT